ATTTACATATGAATCAAAAATATTGATGGATCAATTACATCAACTAATTGTTTCAACTGTAATCAGACTGTGGTTGTTCTGGCCGGGCTCCAGGTGTGTAACTGTTTGAGGACAACAGCCTTTATCAGAATGTCAGTAAATACAGTTTCTTTTATTAAATAGGCAGCAGGCGACAGTATTTTTTTTTTATGTATTTATTTGTTTGTTTTTTCGTGCTGTCTAAGAGGACTGGCAGTGGAACAACCATTGTAACATTCTGCATGTTGCAGTTGCACAAATGTGGCCTGCCTGCTGAAACTGTTGTTGTGCATGGCGGGGAGCGGCCTAAAGAGCACTCACTGCACTTCCCCTTTGCACTAAAAAAAAAAAAAAAATTGCTAAAAGCACTGAACACCAAACAAACATCAATAAACAAGAGCCAGGTTTTAAAGATGTGCTTCTCCCGTAGAGCAGAGATTCGACATCTTCAGTGCCGGCTCTTTTGTCCACACTGACTTGAAGTAAGTAGACAGTAAGGGTTCAGTGTCACGGACAGTTGAACACAGCATATGGCCGTGGCAGGTTACGTGATGCCTCTTGTGCCCCTCCGGGTCTCTCTGTTGCGAACTGACTGCGTAGACCACCGTGCCGAAAAACAAGCATGTAACACAAAATCTGCATTTGTTCATTCTCCACATCCCAGCAGGGAGAATCTGCACGAGGTTTGAGTGGAAAATCGTGTGGTGTGGTTGAAGCGAATAGCTGTGGATGAGGTAATGTAAGGCTATCCGTTTTCAAACATGGAAGCTGTTTTGTTTTTGACAGATGTGTTGTTCTGGATTCTTGTTTCTGGCAATGATGGCAGCTATAATTAGAGTCAAGAAATTAGTGAAATATTTCTGTTTACGTAACTCCCTTTTCCCCGGCTCATGATATTTTGACAGCGAGTGCCAACACTCTCGCTCGCTCTCTAACTCCTAAGTCTCCCCACGGTTCAAGTTAAAACAATATTATTGTGAGTTGACAAAGTACAGAACAATTCAAAGAAATGCATGTATGTAATAGCTAATAAAGCTCCACCGATATTGGCTGATATTTGAGGCCAGGTTTAGCTTTTGTTGGCCGATAAGTAACAAGACGTTGCAGAGTTTGTCCGCATGGTGGTTTATTTTTCAACTGGAAAATATCCATCTGTCTTGGCCACAGTGAATAATTTTCTAACAATCTGACCGCGTGAAAGGTGTCGCTTGTAGTGATGAAGCTACAGAGAATTATCACCTGAACCTGCAGCTCCCCTCGGCTTTACGGAGCTTTGTGGTGAGTTTCAGCTCATTGTTTGGCCGTTCTGGTTCACTCTCACTGCTCTCAAAGCCTCATTTTTGGCCGAAGCAGGCACAGCTCGAAACCCCCCCCCCCCCACAGTGCACCACCTCAGCACCGAACAGCAGACAGAGCATTTTAGCAGCTAAAGAACCAGATACTTCCCCACAGGAGATGATGGAAACCAACAACAGAGTGAATTTATTTTGGACTTAAATTCATCATGTGGCTCTAAATAATGATAAAACAAACAGCTGTATGCGAACAAGGATGCCAAATGAATTTAAAAGGTGATGATACATATGTTTATAGAGTATTTGCTCTGCCTCAAAAGTGGCCAAAAAAATCTGTTATTGCAGGTTTAATGATATGAATTGATATTTAATGTTATGCCACTTTTTAAATTTTCCTTTGTGGAGATTCTGCAATTTGTTGTATGTGAACGAGTTTTATGTTTTATGAGACACATTATATCTAAACTAGAAAAATATTAGAATATTAGAATTAAGGAAGGAGCAGTTATCCTTCCTGCATTGGCTCTCAGGAGTTAGATAAGTTAGATAAGGGGTGTTAGATAAGAAGGATGTGCTTTTGCCAACCTAACTGGTCAGCAAGAGTGAAAGTGAGCAAACAATGGTTCGGCTTTTAGAGAGCTGGTAGGGCAGGTATGACCTGACGCTTAGTGACCTCGGTCAGTCCCCTTCAGCGACGCCTGTAGACACTAACTGATCTTCCACACACGTTCAAGACTGAAAGTGAACAAACAAACTGATCAACCAAGAGTTGTAGTTGTAGTTTTATAGAAACTTAAAAGCAAGAAAAACTTTTTTTTTTTTTTTTTTTGGAGTTTTCCTGCACAGGGAAGAAAGGAAGGATATTACATGACCAGTTCCAAATGTCTCTGGAGTTCATGTTTGCAGATTAACATTTTATTCATTAACAGTATCTGTTCTTCTCGTTTACACTCTGTCGAGCTTAACTTCAACCACCTCAGGTGCACCCAGCAGCCGCCATGTTAATGAGATTTGACTTCTCTGATGGAGGCAAGAGTAAATCCAACCTTTAGGCTTCAACGCATCACTTCAATTTACTACAGCCATGTTTTCCACCAGGTTCTCAGCTCACCTGCTCTCTCTGACGTATACCAAGACATGGGTTGCGATGTAGCCACGCCGTTTGGTGTTTAAGTGCACCCATCATGACACCTCGGCTGCAGGTTTGTGGCGGATGAGAACACTTTGAATTATCCTACAGGGCGAACGCTCGTGATGCATTTACTCTCTCAGTGTGTAACAGTTCTTATGCAAAGCAGGCCCACTGGCCATACCTCACACAGTGATGTTATATATGCAGGCTAATGCAAATGACTGACCTTTCACAGAGCATTTACATCAGGGTGGGAAATTAATTTTTTTTGCTCCAGTAGCCTTGAACCAAACTGGTCATTATTACATCACAAAAACAAGTGACTTCAGTCCAACAATATAAAAGGCAAAGTCAATTTGATTGTCACCTTTGACAGTGTCGCTAATTTGAGAGTCTGAAATAAAGTTAATAATAAAGTTAATAGTCAGTGCCTTCATTAGGAAGCTGAAATGGGTAAATAAGAATCAATGGTGTCTAATCTTGGTATTATTAGATTTTTACTTGATTATTTGACTTGTAGATAAATGTAATTCTGTCAGTTAAAAGCGTTTACTGCGTCCTCTGTCCCCAAAATAAAAAGCTTTATGCATTATAATTCTGTGCACTTTATTAGATGGAATTACATGCAGTGTATGTAAAACAAAACCTAAGCCGATATTATATTAACAATTGTAGAAAATGTATTTTTATGTAGAGAAATGCAGTAAACAGGCAGATCCAGTCTCCTGACAACACTGATTTTTATTTTTGTTAATGACAATTTCTATTCAGATTTCTTTTGAAATCAGTTTTTAATATTTCTGTTTTCACATGATGTGGACTCAGTGTGTCTGTGTTGCCAATCATACATCACTATCCTGTGAAAAAACTGTTGGTGTTACTATTTACAAATGTGTGATCTCAGTGCTGGGTGGGAGGTGGGGAGTGTGCAGGATTTACTTCTTTATTTTCGTTTTCGTTTTGAATGTTGATGTGAGAATCCGATCGTATTTGCGTTTTGAGGTTGCCGTTCTTTAGTACAAACCTCAATTAATTGATTACGTAGATTTGTGTAGCTGACTTGTGCGAGTTCACACCGACGACACTTAAACCAGTCCAGAATCAGACGCTCTCAGCAGCAGCTTGCTCTTTTGGATCTTTCGGACAGAGTTGACGTTGCTTGTCATCACTCGAGATCGGAGATTTTGGCAACTGAACGCGGAGGTGTCAACACAAATCTGATCCCACTCCCTGTCACTTCAGCTAGGCATGATTGACTCATCTGTGCTCTTTGCCATGATTTACACTCTGTGGTGTTAAGTCAAGAACATGTGGATCTTTACTTATTTTGTATGCTTTGCTTTCTTTTTGTGCCTGCCAGATACTATACCAACAGAACTGTGCCGTGCTGCTCTTCTCACATCAAGGCAAAGTAAAGATGTCAGTTTTTATCAGGGCTGCAACTCACTAACTAAAAAGGTTTTGGCATTTATTCAATATTTGACAGTATAGATGTGGACAGGAAACATGGGGGGAGAAAGGTATGACATGCAACAAAGGTCGACATCGGGGCCATACGGTATATGTTCCAACCACTACTAGTCCCCTGGCAAACCGCACTAAGAACTGTTTCAGTTAGTGAATTATCTCTCGCATGTTTTTTCAGTTAATCAACTGATAGTTACTAAAATATGTGTCTTAAAGTTTTGACAATTTCCCAGAGCCCAAGGCGACGCCTTTAAACAGTTTCTGGCTCACCAACTGTTCAAAGTCATATAAAACTTAGAAAAGTGGCAAATCCTCGCATTTAAGAAGCTGGAACCAGAACCAAGATCAGAGCAAGACGATGAAGAGCACACCAGAATCTGTGTCATTATATGTGCATGAGAGAGAGAGAGAGAGAGAGTAAGAGCGGGAAATCGAGTGAGAGCAAGAGAGAGTGATGTCAGGCTTTTCGAGCTGGGCTGAAAATGCAGTCAACTGTCGGTTGGTTTTGGACCTGGATTGGTTTAGATTAATCTTAGTTTGATCCACAATATTTTTTGCAGAGGCAGACAAAGCAGTACGTCCATGAAAGTGAGCATAAATAAATGCATGTTGTGTGGAATGATCACACGACTACAGCACACAAAGCAAGAACAGACGCTCTCGCTTTCATACTGTTTATTCTTGATGTGACTCTGTCCAAACGCGAGCAGTGTGAGCGCACAAGTGTGAGATCAAGGACACAGATAAGCTCACATTCATGGTGAAACTAGTTAAGCCGCTCTGAGCTATATGACGAAGCATAATGGCGACCAGGTGAGTCGGTATGGCTGACGATGAGATGACATCTTGTACGTTGGCTTTGATGTGTTGAGAGAAGAGTGTTGGGGAGGTGTGTCTTGACGTGAGCTTTGCCTTGCTGCATGCCGCCCTGCCATAGGCTGCTGAGTGGTGGGCTGGGATAAAGGAATGGAGGGGAGAAAAGAGAAGGCACTAGGACCCAGCGGCGGGACAGCGAGTAGGCAGGCAGAGTGGGGCTGAGTCACTGCATGTGTCTGAGAGGCAGTCAGAAACAGAGCAGAGCAAGGGAGCAGAGGTGATCTCACACTCATCAGCACAGGATAACACAACCATGATGGGTTGACTTGGGGGGGGGAGGCAGTTGGAGAGAGGAAGTGTGCATTCGCCACCACTTGCTCAGCTATGGAGACCAACAAAGTTCTTCATTTTGTGCCTTCGGGTAAGTGGATCAAAGCTCTCAGAGCGGCTCCTCAGCTGAGCACGACACAGCGTTCACTGGGAGAACCTCGGGTTTCCCTACCTAGTGAAACCCGAGAACCCCCTGTGCAAAACATGTGCAGCCCACCTCCACTTCCACTTTGAGGAACGGCAGATGTTTGGGTGTGCATGCGTTCTACTGTACATACTTGGCGTTTTTCTGTGTTTGCTCTATCTGCATACTTAGGAATGTGGCAGCGTTCTGTTTGTGACAGAAAACCTGTTTTTATTTTCCCTCCTAGGGGAGGTGTGGTTGTGGAAGCCCTCTTGTTCTGCAGAAATGCAGATGTTTTTTTTTGTTCTTTTTTTTTCTTCAATTTTTGTATCAGTACGCTTCTGCCGTTTTGTTTTTTTGTTTTTTTTTTCCCTCTTCTTCTTCTTCTCCTTGTTTATGTCTGGTATGCGACGTGATTCTGCGTCGTATTTCTTCAGTTCAGGAACTGAACCTTGAGAAACGATTGCTTTGCAAACCCACCCGTAAAAAAACAGTATACCTGTCGAGCAGGGACAGCTGGAATGCAGAGAAAGCCTGGGCTCATAATGCACTTTCTCATGTGTTGCACTGGCGGGGCTCGTGCATGTGCGCTTGCTAGAGAGAGCGGGATCGACACAGCACAAGAAACAGTGTGTGTGTGTGTGTGTGTGTGTGTGTGAATGTGCACATGTATCTGTGTGTACCGTTCGTCTGTGTGCATGTTGTTTCTGTGCGTGAAAAATTGAGAGAGAAAAAAAAAAGCGATCGGTGGCTGTGTGTGTTTGGGCCTGTTTGAAGCGTGTGTGCTTGTGTGTGTGTGTGTGTGAGAATGAATGTGCACATGTATCTGTGTGTACCGTTCGGCTGTGTGCATGTTGTTTCTGTGCGAGAAAAATTGAGAGAGAAAAAAAAAAGCGATCGGTGGCTGTGTGTGTTTGGGCCTGTTTGAAGCGTGTGTGCTTGTGTGTGTGTGTGTGTGAGAATGAATGTGCACATGTATCTGTGTGTACCGTTCGGCTGTGTGCATGTTGTTTCTGTGCGAGAAAAATTGAGAGAGAAAAAAAAAAGCGATCGGTGGCTGTGTGTGTTTGGGCCTGTTTGAAGCGTGTGTGCTTGTGTGTGTGTGTGTGAGATGGAGAAAGACAGACAGATTAGTGTTGGTGACAGCCACAGGAAAGCAGCGAGTTCTCCCCTCGCTGAAAGTCCTCTGAGAGCCCGGAGCCCATTTGGAGGTGTGATGCGGCTGCCTCCTCACTTTCATTTTGTCTGGGAAGGCAGAGCAGGATGCTGCGCCTCAGTGTGTGCGTGTGTGTGATGAGGACGTTATGTGGGATAATGCAAGTGCGGAAATATTATCAGAGAATGTGTCTGTGTGTGTGTGCGTGCGTGTGTGTGTGTGTGTGCGCGCGCGCGCGTGTGCACAAGTGTGTTTTTGTTTGAGTACACAGCCCTGTGTGCATGGGATACCGTGCAGGAATATGTCCGTGTTTGTGTGCATTTTTGTGTGTATGTATTTGTCAGAGTTCAGTCGTGCTCTGGTGAAATGTGAGAGAGTGTGTGTGTGTGTGTGTGTGTGTGTGTGTGTGTGTGCGTGTGCGTGTGTGTCTGTGGGTGAGCGTCATGCGCTGTGCACACTAACTACATTTCCGAGTGTGTGTCAGGGCGTGATGGACATTGCTGTGGCTCGTCCTCTGAAGAGTAATTTGCATTCATTTGCTTAGGAGCTGATTAGAGGCGGAGAGGGCAGGTTTGATCCTTGCAGCAGAACAGTTTGGTTGTGTGAACAGAAAGGTATAAGAGGTTTGTCACACAGGAAAGGTTGAGGTTTGGGTTGGTAGTGATAAGAGAAATGTCTGATCCACTAATGTCTAATCCTTTTAATTACACTCATTCGAGATGTTTGTGTCATGTAACTTAACCTTGGCTCTAAATGCGCACGTTAACGTTTTACTGCCCAGTACAACAGAATGACCAAAAATGCATCTGCAGGAATTTGATGGAGTTATTGATCACCACCAGTGACTCAACAATTACTTTGCCAGAGGATTAGATTTCTCGCTTTCCAAACTCACTTTACTGCCCTCTGGATTTTCAAGTAAAGCAGAACAAGCTTTTCTGCGCAGCACCTCACAGGAACATGTTGTCCATCACAATGTTCAGCTGAAGCTGCACAGACGACACAAACTGTTTTATTGCTGGTGTTTTCATCTTGGAGCGTTAGCAGACTCTCGTTGAAGCATATTGCGAGTAATCTTCCAGATTGTGTGTCATTATCAGTGGCAACCTGCTGGCAGGTGAAGGAGCACCTGGCGCTGTGGGAGGAGTTCAGGAGATACGGGATTCACTTTATAGACTTGTAAATGACCGCAGAGCTTCCACATGTAATCGGTCAACGTGATAACACTGCAGTGAGTTTTTATTATTTAACACTCAGGTGTAGATTGATTTACCTTTATGATTTTGTTTGCTCACTGACATTTCTGATTCATTTGTAAAAAGGGAATGTTCAAAATAGGAATGGGCGATAATTTGCTTGTATAAATATTTTCATTATGTTGATCATATTGTTTTACACATTTCTGTTATCGAAAATTAATTATGCAAAGTAGGGCTTAATGATATTCAATCAATCAGCGATTTCAGTTGGAAGGTCGTTTTTGCATTTTATTTTCACTGAAAAAAAATATAAAAATGATGATGGTGTGATTTTTGTCGGGTTTCCTTTGTGGTACATCGTGACACATTTTACCTTTATCAAAAAAATTGCGGCACCTGCAATTCGGATATTGCAGTCGGCCATATTTCAATAATATTTCAATTGAGTGTTCAGTTCTCATGCAAAGTGAATTGTAGTCACAAACAAATAAGGGTTGGTGAATTACAGTTTTTGTTTTACACTCACAGTTTTTGTCGGATGTAATGCTCTTTTATCATATCGCGATATCAGAAATGTGCAGCTAACGATTATTTTATTCATCAGATAATCAATCTCAATCGATAAGTGAAATGTGACTTGTCCGTCAATCCAAAGAAGAATGTCTCTCACAGTTTCTTTAAACCCAAGGTCACCTCTTAAACGCTTAAGACAAAAAAGAAGCAAATCCTCACATTTTAGAATCTGAAATCGGGGATTTAAGGCATTTAAGATTTAGATAGGACGTTTCTGCTCTCTTTTTTAAACAGCTCTGATTAAATATCACAATTATGACATGAAACTGAAATCTCCCAGCGTCGTCCCGGCAGGTTGTCAATCTTCAGGTGTGACAGACATCCTGATAATCAGTGCTGCAGCCGTGACCTGCAGAGCCAGAAAATATCAGCATGGCGGACACATAGTGGCTGCGTGAATTAGTAGTTCGACCATGTGGAAGTGGAGGTGTGTGTGAGAGAAGATGGATGACGTGTGCCCGTGTGCATGCGTGTGTGCATGTGTGTGTGTGTGTGAGTGTGTGTATGTGTGCTGTAGATGTGACAGTGATCTCTGATCAGTATTCACCGCTGGCAACAGATCTCAGAAGCTCCAGCCTCTGAGCACAGCCATCTGGGCAGAGGAGAAACACACATCGACACACACATACAAATTATTATACAGTACCACACACACACACACACACACACACACACACACACACAAATACACGCACTGAAACATATCACAAAAAACACAACGACACGACAGGTCTGCCACACACGCACAAGTGTATTCACACATGAGCTTTTTGTTTTCTTCTTTGAAAAGTCACACACACCTATTTGTAAATGCACACTCACTGTGTCACAGATATGGTCCAAACACACTGCACGTAATTACATACAACACAATTCATTCTATCTAAATTATGTGTTGGTTTACACACACAAAACAATCATGTAGCTGTGTCAAGACAGACACTCATCATACACAGTTCAAGGAACAGAGAATGAAGAAGACCACACATTCATTACAGTTACAACTCACACACTCTCACATGCACTTACACACACACACACACACACACACACACACACACACACACACACACACACACACACACATGCACACTCTTGTTTGTCTTTATATCTCTGTCTTGCTCCATCTTGTTTTTTCAGCCTCCCTCTCCCACGCACACATTTACATACATAGACACTGTTTTCTGGTTTTTCAATCCATAAAATACACACACACACACACACACACACACATACACACACACAGCTGTACCGTGGACAGGTGTGTATTTTCGTAGAAAGAAAAAAGGGTAGAGCAGACACAAGACAGTGCTTTAGAAGTGTCTACAGCAGAGTGTTTTTTTTTAACATACTCAGGCCTGCAGTGTGACAGAACACTTCCTGTCAGTTTGGCAGGAAGTGTGTGAGGCTGGTATTTTTGGGATGATGTATTAAGCTTTGTTAGATCCACAGTCTTTTTAATAGCCCAGTGTAACAGATGTGATGTTTATTTACTGTATAGTGAGTTTCTGCTTTGTGATGTTGATTCTGTCGCTTAGTATGTGACATCGATGAGGTGCAATTACCACAACAACAACAACAACTGTTGCTACTAACAGTCCTATAAATAAAATCTACAAGGACTTAATTTTGGAAACATGTTCAGTACCGAACTGGAAAACCACATTTCACATCATCTTACATGTTTTTAAAGTAAGAGAATCAGGACGGCAAAACATATCGAGCTCTGTTTTTATGAAGGTAAACAGCACAAAGCTTCAGAGCCTCATTTTCCCAGTATTTTGGTGCAGTTTTGTTGGCTCATTGTGCACAGTGCACCCATGCTCTGTCCTATTTTCATCCTTTTATTACATGGAGGTGCACTCCTGCTTTACTGCGTGGTCTTGATGGGAAGTTTAATTTCTAAAAAAAACGGTGGTCTGAACTTAAACCATCACAAAACCGCCGCTGCGCTGAAGGGAGCCGATATAATCAACCATTATTGTCACCAGCCTCTAACACACCCGCATCGCATTTGCCTCTGACCTCGCCAAGTGTCT